GCCTGGCTGCCGTCCAGGCTGTACGCGTAATATGATTTGCGTAGGTTAACTACACCTTTTTCGTTTCTTCTTGATGGCCAAATATGGCGTTCCGTGTGGAATTAAATTTTCATTCGTGGCGTGTATAAGAATGGGACGTGATATACATCGTTCTTATATACAACGATGTTGCAGGAAACAATAGACGTTTTATGGAAATGGAAATTCGATATGCAGAGCGACTATGAATCGATTAAATTAAATTTTTATTTCGGATATACATCCTATAATATTTGTAAATAATTTACGATTAAACGATTATTCAATTTTAAATTGAAAGATTGTATCGAATTACAAATATAAATGTTTCAATTTAAAAAAATTTAAATGTTTTTTTCATTATTATTATTTAAATAAATTAAAAAATTAATAAATTTATTTATTTATTTATTTTTTCGAAGAGTTTTATTTTCAATGTAAGAAATTTTTGTTATTAAAATTAATGATGAAATTAATATAATAATAATAATAATAATAAATAAATTTATATTTATTTTTGAATATAAATAAAAATAAATCTGAATTTTTAATTATATTTGAAAATAAGTTAATATTTATAAAATTAATAAATTTTCATGATAATTTCGAAATAATTTTATTAAAGGAACAGAAGAGTGGAGAGGAAGAAAAATCTATTTCATTTAAGCGAATATTACGAAAAATTTCTCTCCCCATTTACACCCTTGATTTTTCAGCAATATTTGAATATCGTGTTAAACGATATTCGCGACATAAATAACGCGTTGAATAAATTTTTAATAACACAAAGTGCAGCAGCTTGTTCGAGGATCGAGAGCGAAACTTTTTGCAATTATAGAGAAACGAGAAACGAGTTATTATTATTTCTTTTCCAGTCTATTAACCCGTATCTCGTTGTCTGCATTAAGTATCGTCAAGTTTTCTTTCTTTTTTTTTTTTTTTTTTTTTTTTTTTTTTTCCGTAGTCTTTCCAATCCAGCACAACTTTCTTATCTCAATTATTCTTTCAGTGAATAATCCTCAAAAGAAAAGAGGCGTGGCTTCTTTAAAACTTTATACTTATAAAGAAAAGTTTCTCGTTACTCGAGCTCAAATTAAACAAATGATTGCAAATAAAAAAAAAAAAAAGCTTCCCTCCCACCAGCGAGGGATTATTATTATCTCAACGCGCGTTGAAAAAGTTGAAAAACAACAATTTGATTGCAGAAAATTAGGTAACCAAAATTTTTATTTTATTAATCCCCCCTTTTAATTAACGACCCCCTTTAATCTTAAAACTTCGCGATGTCTCCCAATTTTTTCCGAAACGTGACAGAAAATTTCTCTCTCTCTCTCTCTCTCTCTCTCTCTCTCTCTCTCTCTCTCTCTCTCTCTCTCTCTCTCTCTCGCTCTCGAAGCGCGGTAAACACGCGCATTTTCATTTTTCAACAGAAAAAAACACGAAATATCTCGTTCGAGTCGAGGGATCGTAAACAAAGGAGGCTGAGTCGAGTTTTTTTCGAAAAATACGATAACTCGGCCTTATCGTAACCCCCTTCATTCCCTTCCAATCTGAAAAATTTAAAGCTTGAACTCGTAATGTTTCAACCTGTCGCCAGGATAATTCGCGAGCAAACGTTAACCGCGATTAAATTGCGGTTCGAAAACCTGCGTGCGTCTGTGCGTGCGTGCGTGGTCGCATCGTTTCCAGGGAATAAACGGACACGCGAAATATTATTTATTAAAAAAAAAAAAAAAAGAAAAAAAATATACGAACGATTTCGGTTTTTAATTAAACGGTGTTTGTTTCAGCCCAACGACGAATATTTGCCTGTTGACAGATTATTTTCGACGAACGATATTTTTCGTCCCGATTACGTTACATTGCGGGTTTTATTAACTATCCTATTTTTTCGACGCTCTCTTTGTACGTTCATTTCAAGAATTTAAATAATTTCGTTTTCGAACGAGAGAATATTATTTCATTCGAGTAATGTTTTTTTTTCTTTTTTCTTTTCTTTAAGAAGTTGGAAGAATTTCTTTGAATCTCTCTCTCTCTCTCTCTTTTTTTTCGTTCGTGGCACAGATGCAAAAAGGTGTATGCGAAAAAAAAAAAAAAGAAAAGAAGGTTCGATCCGGTTTTTCGAAAACCAGAGAGGTATACGAGATCCTCGAGACATCCTCGAGACGTGAGAGGAATCATGCATTGACCTTTCGTTCCTGCCATCCCCTATTTCATCCCCTAAATCCCACATCAGACCGCGGATGAAGCTTATCTACGCTCTTTTTTCTTCTTTCCTCATCGGGAAAGAAGGAGTTGCACGCGAGGCGAGAGAGGTGTTCATAAATCAGTCGATTACTTGGCTGTGTTTGAAAGCTTCTTGGAAAGAGAGAAGAAAAAAAAAAAAAGGAAAAAGAAAAAGAAGAAGAAGAAAAAAAAGAACGACGAACCGTGAATCCGTTTAAAGGAGAGAAGGGGAAAAAAAGCTGCGTCGACGGAGATTTATGAAGGCATATTCGTCTCGCGTCGACAAGATTTTCGCGCATAATTCTCCGCCTATGAATGAATATATTACGGAGAAAATATTAATAAAATAATTCCCCGTTGAAACGTCCGTCCGTGTACAACAAAACTTGCAAGATTTATAGCTTTATATTTGTGAGAATAAATTCGATTCGAACGAATTATTCGAGCCGATAAATCGTCTTGTCCATTGAAAATTATAAAATGAAATATTTATTTTGATTATTATTCGCCTGTTTCGCGCATATATTGTCGAAGAAACTTCAACACGCGCGATATTTATGAAAACAAATTGTATTCAACTAATTGAACGATAGAATTGAATTCTTTTCCACTGTGAGAAGAAAATAACAAAACATTCCTTTATATGAAGTAATCTCGGATGAAGTGTAATTAAAAAGAGGTTTCAGAATTCCACGATATATAGTTATATACCTGTGTATCTCCTCGCGTGATTTATATTCTGTCGTACATGTCGATAACATCTTATCTTATCTCTCACATTTTGTTATTCACAATTTGAACAATTTTTAATTTTCAATTTTTCAATTTTAATTTTCAATTTTTCAATTTTAATTTTCAATTTTTCAATTTTAACATAGAAATTTCGTTGAAATCGGAAATCATTCCGATATTTCATCTTCCCTCTGTAATTTACAACAATTTTCTGTAAAAGGTTTCTCTCGAGAAAAGAATCGAACGACGTCAATACGTATTTCTCTGGTAACACGTGTAAGGAGAGAATCCTCTTAAAGGTGAGAATTCTCCGTTAAAATAGGGGAAGAATTTTCCAACCTTGCTTTCGATTAGCATTTATTCACGATTAATTTTCTAAATTACTCGAATATTTTAAATATTCGAACGAACAATTAGCAAAAAGATTAAAGTCTTTTTACAAATTTGTCGAAAATATTGTTTCAAATCGAATACGTTTATTTTCCCAACTTTGGAACTCGCTCGATGTGTAAAATCCAAAATTTCCAAAGAAACGAGCAATTCCTTCGACCGGGCAAAGAATTAATTATTCAACCCATTCAATTATTCAATCATTCCGATTCCCAAATCCGCATAATTAACCGAACAATCTGCAAACTGGCCAACCGCCAATAGAACGCCTCCAGCGTTTCTTTCTTCTTCCTCTTCTTATTCTCCATTCTTTCCTTTTTTTTCCAATTACGAGGAAGAGAAAAGAAAGTTGAAAAAGTTAGTCAATCGGAAAAGTTCGTTTTTTTTTTTTTTCCTTTTACTCGACCAAATACTTCGCAAATACATTCCTCCAAAACGATTCACAGGTGTTCCTCGTGAGAAAGGTTACTCACGACACTGTTCAGAATTCTTCAAAAATCTGCCAAAAGATATTCAGATTTATCGTCGTATGCGGATCTATAATTCATTTGGATAGATCTATAATTCGATCTCGTCTGGAAATTCTTTTCTTATGTGTTTCGAATTAAAAGAGAAAGAAAGGAATAAAATATAGAATACATTTTCGAAGAGTCGACAAGTAAGAGAAAAAAGAAAATGGTTAATGGTTGAGAAAAAAAAAAAAAAGAATGTTTTTTAATTTAAACAAAACGTAAAACCTGTTCGCCCCCTCGTCTGACAGACGACCTGAAGTTTAATTGAGAATTAAATTTACATACGGTCTTGGTGGACTTTTCGAGGTCGTGGATGGAAAGATTATATCTCTCCGCTTTCTCGTTCCTTCGTTTATTCTTCGTCTACCTGGGAAGGGAGGGAAATGTACTTACAGGATTGGATTAAAAGATGAAACAATATTCGAGGAATAATTTTTTATCTCGCCGGATGAATTTTACCTTTTTTTTTCTTTTCACTCCCCACCCCCTTTCTCTTAATCTCCCCCTCCGTCCACACCGTTAAAATCCGTTCCACACCATAATCCGATCTAATGAATAGATTTAATTGAACCTTCTCTTCTAGAAGAATTCTTAATTCGTTTCATCGGTTCGGGCTCTGTTTCTCGTCTCGTTAGCCTCGAACTATCGATAAGACAAAAAAGAGGATGGCTTCGAATTCGTAAAGGCAAATTCGACCTTAATTCGTCGCTCGAGAAATACTTGGCACGCATTCGATTATCAAATATCTCAACTCCTCGCCAAGAAGAACATCTTGTGGATAAGAAATTTTCTATTTTAAACTCTCCAATTTATTTACAATTATGATGAGAAAGTTGCTCCCCTAGATTCTAAAATTAGAAAATTGATTTCTTCGAAGCGTATTGTATTTATACGAGATACAACTTCCTACGATTCTCATTGTGGACTACGATCCATCAACGAGATGTTCCAACGAGATGTATTAACACTATGCCACGCGCAGATATTAATTTAATAATTATTGCACGCGAATGACTCGATAACTCGACGTATCGAATCGTTATGAACGTTGCTTTAATTTCTGTGCGCATCGAGGGATAAGGAAAGCGGTTGGTTTAACGGATGTTAAAAATGGCGACTTACCGGTCGGGCTCGGCGTGAGCGATTTCATCGCCACCTTCACGTGGATGTCGTACCGCTCGAAAAGTCTCAATTTCCGCCCCTTGCTTTTCTGCAACGTGTGGATAGCCGAGGTCACCGCTTTCGTGTACTCCCTCACCTCGAAGGACTTGTGAGGAACCATCATGCCCACCTGTTACACGCAACAGTTCGAATTAGCGCGGCAAACGGGATCGAAATTTCTTCGACGAATCGTACTCTACCCGCGTTGTTGTATTCAATGTTGTTTTCAATGTATCGTTAAAGGCTCGAACGAATAGAGCTCGAATAATTTATTATCCGAAATTATTATTACGCATACATTCGAGCATTTTTCAATAGCGAGTAAATGGAATTTTTTAATTGAATTCGAGTAATTCAAGAAATTGTATTGAAATTGTCGAATAATTTTTTTAAAATAAGGGGAAAAAAAAGAAATAGGAACGCGAGTTTATGTAATTAATATTTTCGAAAATTCGAGTAATTCAAGAAATTAAATTGAAATTGTCGAATAATTTTTTTAAAATAAGAGAAAAAGATACTGGAAGTAAAACGTAAATTTATGTAATTAATATTTTCGAAAATTCGAGTAATTCAAGAAATTGTATTAGATTGAAATTGTCGAATAATTTTTATAAAATAAGAGAAAAAGATATGGGAAGTTTATGTAATTAATATTTTCGAAAATTCGAGTAATTCAAGAAATTGTATTAAATTGAAATTGTCGAATAATTTTTATAAAATAAGAGAAAAAGATATGGGAAGTTTATATAATTAATATTTTCAAAAATTCGAGTAATTCAAGAAATTAAATTGAAATTATTGAATAATTTTTATAAAATAAGAGAAAAAGATACTGGAAGTAAAACATAAATTTATGTAATTAATATTTTCGAAAATTCAAGTAATTCAAGAAATTATATTTGAAATTGTCGAATAATTTTTATAAAATAAGAGAAAAAGATACTGGAAGTAAAACATAAATTTATGTAATTAATATTTTCGAAAATTCGAGTAATTCAAGAAATTGTATTAAATTGAAATTGTCGAATAATTTTTATAAAATAAGAGAAAAAGATACGGAAAGTAAAACGTGAGTTTATGTAATTAATAATTTCGAAAATTAATGATTCAATGGTATTAGTTAACGTAATATATACTTCCATGAATTAGATAGGATTTTGATTCGATGAAAAAGTACGAATCATTAATTAACGATATATAATAATAGAATTAATTAATTAATAATTTCGTATCTATTAAAATTTATTACTAAGTGACGATTATTAATTGATTAAAACAATCTCGATAATCAATTTCTTTCAATAACGGGCATTGATTGATTAATTATCGATCAAACGTTTTAATCTAAACATTAAAGAGATTTAAAATATATACAAACTATATTTTTTTGAATCTTCAAGATCAAAATATAAATCAAACAACAGAAGAATACGAAAGAATAAATTCATAGAACGAAAAATTTACTTTGTTGAAATTTTGATTATTATATAAAATATTTCGACTAATAAAATTAGCAGCAACGTTTCTTTGCCTTTTCCTCGCCAGTTACTCAAAGACTAGGGACGCAGGCGAAGGTATTACGCATTGAAACGGACGAAAAAGTGCATCCAGAGTGTTCACTTTGTTACGACCAGAGAATGGATCAGCTAGCACCTGTTGCGCTGAATCGATCGTGCCGGATGAATGGTATACACGTAGGCAGAGAACGGACAGTGTAAGTTAACGTTACTGCCTCCTCCATTCCTTTCGACACGCTTGACAGCTGATTAGCGGAACACCAACGTGGAGAACGATCAAGAATTTTATTAATTTTGAGTTGAGGTTATATGCAAGAGTGTGAGACTCGTATCTTTGTATTTGCGTGTTGTGGATTGGGCGCGATCGTTCGGAGACCAAGTGACGGGGAAAATTGAATAGTTGAGGTTACGAATAAAGTTGCTTCGATAATTTATCAAGATAATAATAATAAAATAATGCAAGTCTTGTATTGAAAGATATATCAATTATAATAGCTACGAATATTTCTTTAATAAGTAATTACTTGAAATGAAACTTTACTCGAAATTTTTAATATTTTTTTAAACGAGTTAATGCCCAATTCTGGACACTAAATATCGCTTATTTAACGTGGAGAGCACAATCGAGAATTTTATTAATTTTGTGTTCGGTTTTATTATCGTCTTGAAGATAACCAATCACTGGTCAAGTGACGGGGAAAATTGAATATTTGAGGTTACGAATAAAGTTGCTTCGATAATTTATCAAGATAATAATAATAAAATAATGCAAGTCTTGTATTGAAAAATATATCAATTATAATAGCTACGAATATTTCTTTAATAAGTAATTACTTGAAATGAAACTTTACTCGAAATTTTTAATATTTTTTCAACGAGTTAATGCCCAATTCTGGACACTAAATATCGCTTATTTAACAATCGAGAATTTTATTAATTTTGTGTTCGGTTTTATTATCGTTTTGAAGATAGCCAATCACTTTTGGAAAAGGAACGCTCTGTTCAAGACACAGAGTTAATGAGAAGAAAAAAGTGTCTACTTTTCGACAGTGAATTTATTATTATTCAAATTGAAGATAAAAAGAAGCAACGAACAATTTCTTAAATGTTGGAAAGATTGGATCGAAATGATGGGACACGCTGTGCAATTAAAGCACATATTTCGTGAAAGAGTTTGTGGTTTTTGCACAGAGAAGAAAAGAGAAAATGCGTTTCTCGTCTTGAAATATGTATGGTTAATTAGAAATATAAATCATCCCGCCATTAACAATTAGACGCGACCCAGTTTTCCATGGAACGTGTCGCCATAATTGCCACCGTTTTCGCGGTAGTTTAAGCTAATGCGTTAAAAATTGGACACTCCTTTCCCGTTTTCCTTCATCCGTTTCCTCTATTCATTTTTTTTTTTTTTTTTTACCATCCATGTTCGTTCTCTCGCTGTTATATTTCATTCTTTCTTTCCTCCTTCTCTCTTTTTTCTTTTTCTCTCTTTTTCGACAACTTGCTTTTTCCTTTCGTTTTCGCGGCGCTCTTCCTTCTCGCGTCATTTCTCATCCTTCAATTTTCGTCCCTTTCTCACGCTTTTATTGTCCTCGCTCATCCCTTTTTCTCCCTCGTATTTTTTTTCCTTCACTCGTGCCACGAATTTTTTCATTTTCCTTTCTTATTATCCTGCTTTTTTTTATCTTTCTCGCACCGCACGATTTCTTTTCTTCTACCTCTCTCTCTCTCTCTCTAATTTCACTTGGCGTTTCTCTTTTTTAATTCAAGCCCGCTTTTCATTTGTTTCTGTAGCGACGCTTTTCGCTATTTTCTCCAAAAATATTAATCCTCGTTCTACCAAAATTGAAAGTAATATTTTCTCGAAAATTCCTTTCTTCGTATCTAATACGCGAGACGAATCTAAGACATTCATCAAATCAAATCACTACTCTTTTTTTTCTAAAAATCCATTCTTCCACGATCCTGGTATCGAATCATTACCTACAAATGCGGAAAGAAATAAAAGAAATAACGCGCGTAAGTGTTCGAGTAATCGAAAATTCGATCTTAAAGAAAAAAAAATGTAATAAAATATTTTTCTCAGGACTAAGCCATCCATCATCGAGAAAGCGCGTTCTCCAAAAATATTCTAATCCACGTTTCTTCTATCAAAATTGAAAGTAATATTCTCAAAGAAAAGAAATTACACGCGCAAGTAATCGAAAATTCGAACCTTAAAAATAAAAATGTCTATTTTCTTCGGTGATTCATTATCACCGAACGACTTCCATTCAGAAAATGCGTTCTCCAAAAATATTCTAATCCTCGTTTCTTCTTCTATCAAAATTGAAAGTAAATGTTAATCGAAATTTCGAATCTTAAAAAAAAATGTCTATTTTTCTCAGGACTAAGCCATCCATTATCGAATCACCGAACGGCTTCCATTCAGAAAGCGCGTTCTCAAAAATATCGTAATCCCCGTTTCTTCTATCAAGAAAAGTAAAAAGTAATATTTCCTCCAAGGGAAATTCGTATCTTGCACGCGAATCTCTAAAAATCTCAAAATATTTAAAGAGTAAACTCTTCTCGCTCTCTCATATCGAGCAACAACGCCACCCTTTTCTTTTTTCTCTAAAAATCAAATATATTCTTCCACATCCTAGTATCGAACATTATCTATAAAAAAAAAGAAAAAAAAATAAAAATAAAAGAGATAACGCGAGATAAGTGTTGGAGTAATTTCGAAAATTCGAAAAAACCTAAAAAGAGAAAGAAAAAAAAAAAAAAAAAAATTCCTCCAAGGATTAAGCATCCATCCATTACCTGGAATCGGATTCCACTTTGGAGGGGGAGGGGAGGCGGGCGCGGAATGGGCTTTTACCCCGGAAACGGGCTCGATTGTTTCGCGAAAGTCGGCGAAAAAGGAACGCGGAATAGGATCCTCGGTTCGGTTCAGGGGGGAAATCGGGTGTAGCGGAATGGCGGATTGGAAACGTTTCCTCGCGAATTTGGTGGAAGGCGAGGAAGGTGTGCATTACGATGATTAAACGCGGAACAACGGGGTGATCGAGGTAGCGATAGCTGCTGCCGCGAAAATGGAGAGTAATAGCGCGACTGCGGAATAATTGCTCGGTTCAAGTTGGCTTTTCGGGTTTAAAGCGATTATCCCCGGCCCGTGGATCGCCCCGGCTGCGTGTCGAGCAAGAGGAGGTGGTGATTAACGCCAGGTGTAATATTTCACGCTTGCTGCTGATGGAATTGAAGGGGGATAAAAATCGCGCGTGGCTATCTGCGTGATTCGATTTATTCGATTCAAGCGAGCAAGTTTGACGATTTCTTGTTATTGTTATTACTCCAAAAGGAAAGAACTTGGACGATGAAAAACGAGTGTAATTTTGCGTAATTAACGCAGATTCCAACGAGCAGATTTGACGATTTTTTCTTTATTATTATTATTCGAAGATGACTTAAATGATAAAAAAAAGATATAATTCTGATTACACGATTTGACAATCTTTTATTATTGTTATTATTCGAAAATGATTTGGATGATAAAAAAAATATATAATTCTGATTACACGTAATTAACGGTGACGATTTGATTGATTCGATTCAAACGAGCAGATTTGACGATTTTTTCTTTATTATTATTATTCGAAAGTGATTTGGGAGATAAAAAAGGTGCCTGATTCTTTGCATAATTAACGATGACGATTCGATTGATTCGATTTAGGCGAGTAGATTTGACGATTTCTTCTTATTATTATTATTCGAAAATGACTTGGATGATAAAAAAAAATATAATTCTGATTACACGTAATTAACGGTGACGATTTGATTGATTCGATTCAAGCGAGCAGATTTGACGATTTCTTCTTATTATTATTATTCGAAAATGACTTGGATGATAAAAAAAAGATATAATTCTGATTACACGATTTAACAATCTTTTATTATTGTTATTATTCGAAAATGATTTGGATGATAAAAAAAATATAATTCTGATTACACGTAATTAATGGTGACGATTTGATTGATTCGATTCAAACGAGCAGATTTGACGATTTTTTCTTTATTATTATTATTCGAAAATGTGTAATTCTACGTAATTAACGGTGACGATTCGATTGATTTGATTGGTTCGATTCAAGCGAGCAGATTTGACGATTTCTTCTTATTATTATTATTCGAAAATGACTTGGATGATAAAAAAAAGATATAATTCTGATTACACGATTTAACAATCTCTTATTATTGTTATTATTCGAAAATGACTTGGATGATAAAAAAAAATATAATTCTGATTACACGTAATTAACGGTGACGATTTGATTGATTTGATTCAAACAAACAGATTTGACGATTTCTTTTTATTATTATTATTCGAAAGTGATTTGGGAGATAAAAAAGCTGCCTGATTCTTTGCATATTTAACGATGACGATTTGATTGATTCGATTTAGGCGAGTAGATTTGATGATTTTTTCTTTATTATTATTATTTTAAAAAATGTAATTAATGGTGACGATTCGATTGATTCGATTCAAGCAAGCAGATTTGACGATTTCTTCTTCTTATTGTTATTATTCGAAAATGACTTGGATGATAAAAAATCCCGCGTGTAATTCTGATTACACGTAATTAATGGTGACGATTCGATTGATTCGATTCAGATTTGACGATTTCTTCTATTATTAATATTATTAATCGAAAGTGATTTGGGAATACTTTGTGGACGATAATTCTAATTTCGATTTGGATTGGATCGTTTGAAATGAGTTTTTTGCTAAAATAAAGTATATAATAGGATACTTTATAAGAAGAAAATTTCGATCTTCGAGATTAATCTTTATCCTTTAGGAAAACATCGATCCACTTTTAAACAAAATATCCTTTTAAAAACTAATCCCTCGCTTTAAACGCGGCGGTGTTTTCTTTATAAACAAGATCATCCGATTCCAACGTATTTATATATAAAAGTGAAATCGATTTTCTTGGGAGAATGAGGAGGAGGAGGACGCCATATTCGAAAGAGCTGCGGGGGAAAATCCGTCTTTCACGTTCGTGGAAACGTTGAATTTTTTATCGTTTCGAAAAGGGACTAAAGTCGTTTGGTGACACGCGAAGCGAAGAGAAAGAAAGAAAGAGGGAGGGGGAAGGAAAAAAGGAAGGAAGGGAAGGAGGAATAGCTTTTAGTCGCGAAAGATCCGTCTTCGGATATTCGGAATTTCTAACCGTGGAATGTTGTCCTGATTACTGGTGTTCGAACTATTCGTAGGGGAAAATTATCGGGGATACCGAGAGTGAAGAACGTGCAGAAACGTGGGATGGAACGGGGTCATCTAATTTTATCGTTCCTCGTGTCGATTCGCCAGGTTAAAAACGCGTGGACGAAAGCGTGGAATTTATGTAATTTATCAAGAATAAAAGGAAGTCATTTAAAACTGAAAAACACACTTCGTATTATACAAAATAAAGAGGACAAATAATAATCGAGCAGAGTTTAAAATTGAATCGAATTGGAATTCGAAGTTTGAGAAAGAAAAAACGAAGCGAATCTTTCATCCAAAGACTTTTGAACCATGATTGAATGCTTTTATTTAACTCCTGTAAAATTGTGAGAATTATAGTTTTTCATTATGAGGATTTTTAGAAGAATGCAAACTTGAAGATATGTATTCTGCAATTATAACTCAACTTGTTAACACGTCTTTAAATATTCGAATTAATACCTTCTAAGATTCCATTTTCATTACCAAACTTTCTCCTCGCTTCAATCCCCAATACAAGATTCTTTTTCACAATTGTCTCGCGATAGAAGGATAACTATAACCATAATAATCCACATTTCTACTCATTTTTACCCCTGATAATAAATAATTTCCATAGACTTGAAAAAAAAAAGCAGAAAGCCAGGAATATTAACGACCCAATTCCCTTTGACCCCTTCCCCTCCATCCTCCCCAACTATCCCCCAAAGATCCAAGATCCGAAGGGATCGATAACACGTCCGGGTTTAACCCACCTCCTCCTTTAACCCACTTCCTCCTTTAACCCACGACCATAAAATTTAAATAAAATTTGGACTCACCTTCAAGGTGCTGTTGTACCCGTTCTTGTCGGCCGACGGTGGCGCGTAGATGAACGTCGTGGTCGAGGAGGGGGTGGTGTACGGTCTCTGCCTAGTCGAATTGGGAAATCTCGCCTCGCCGAGTTTCACGCCCGAGTGGCCACGCCCCCCGTATCCTGTAGCCTTTCCGAACGCGCTGCGATCGCTGGTCCCTATTTGGATACCGCTGCCCCCCCTCGTCACGCCGCTGGTCTGCAGGCAGTCGACCACCGACAGAAGTAACACGAGGGCGTACAGGAATCCGCACATTTTCTCCCTTCCTTTCTTTTCGTTTTCGTTTTCTTCCTTCGCCACCAGACGGGGGCTTTTCAACGGGCTCTCGAGGTTCTTCTCGCCCGCTTTGCCTCGCCTTCTGTTCACGAGGGTGGAGACAGCCTCAGCCCCGCCGCGATCTCGTCCGGGCGGACATCCCTTGCCCTCTCGCGAACCCTCATCATCGCATCATGCTCGAGATCCTGGAAGAAGAAAGGAGGAGAGGTGTGTTCGATTAATATGCAACGAGTAATAATAATGTGTTGAGATATAGAATGTCTGCTTCGTTCGTTCGTTCGTGGAGTTGAATCGAAATTGGGAGGGATGAGAGTGAAAAATTGCCGTCATAGAGACGTACTTTTGGGAAAATTTATGAAAAGAATATCGAAGTTATACTTTTTGATTGGTTTGCCGATGGTTGAGGTATAAGAAGCGTTCGAGTTTATGAATGGACTCGTGATCTGCATCTTTTCTGACTGAGTTGAACGAGTGCTATGCTTCTCCAGGAATCGCGTCTGTCACACTTGTTTCGAGTTTGGGATAAATCGGTGAAACGAGGTGTAGATGAGAGATTCGAATAAGGAACGAGAACGAGGAGAAAAGGATCAGAAAAGTTACTCTTTTATTTACGCGATGATATTTCGGGAAGTCGTATCGAAATAAACGAGAAAGCATTTTGAAGGACAAAGTTCCGCGCTTCTAATCATCGTTCACAAGAAATTGTTATGTTCGAAGTTACAGCGGTTCGAAATTTTCCTAATTTTAATTTAGAGTTTATGATTGAAAATTATTCTTTTCTTTACTCAACAATATTTCAGGAACCGGAAGTCGTATGGAAGTAAACGAAAAAGCGTTTTAAAGAATAAGATCATGTCGAAATTTAAAGTTTTTTTATTTTTTTATTATTTATCAAATTTAGTCATCATGTTTGAAATTTTTCTAATTTTAATCTAGAGTTTATGATTGAAAATTATTCTTTTCTTTACTCAACGATATTTCAGGAACCGGAAGTCGTATGGAAGTAAACGAAAAAACGTTTTAAAGAATAGGATCATGTCGAAATTTAAATAGTCATCATGTTCGAAATTTTCCTAATTTTAATCTGGAGTTTATGATTGAAAATTATTCTTTTCTTTACACGATGATATTTCGGAAACCGGAAGTCGTATGGAAGTAAACGAAAAAGCGTTTTAAAGAATAGGATCATGTCGAAATTTAAATAGTCATCATGTTCGAAATTTTTCTAATTTTAATCTAAACTTTATGATTGAAAATTATTCTTTTCTTTACATGATATTTTGGAAACCGGAAGTTGTATGGAAGTAAACGAAAAAACGTTTTAAAGAATAAGATCATGTCGAAATATAAATAGTCATCATGTTCGAAATTTTCCTAATTTTAATCTAGAATTTAATCGAGTTTACGATTGAAAATTATTCTTTTCTTTATATGATATTTCGGGAACCGGAAGTCGAGATAACGAAAAAGCGTTTTAAAGAGTAGTAATTCTATATTTCTAACGATAAAAATTCATTCAAATTCTCATGTTTAAACTTTTATTCAAAATTTTGTTAATTTTAATAAGTTTTCATTCGATTCAAAGTAATTTTGAAAATCAGTCTTTTTTAATATCTCTAAGAACGAGAATCATTATATTATTATCATCAGAATTGCAGCAAGTTCAAAATTTTAATTAATTATTTCGATTAAAAATGTAATATACGATATTTCCTGTTATATATGATAATAAACGGGAAGAAACTCGCATTTCGCATGGGGATATATGGATTTTCCTGTTCGATACTTAATATTAATTGTCTCAAATAAACGTAACTCGTGTTATTAAATTTTCATCGAATGATAAAACGATGAAAATTATTAAATTGACTAATTACGACGATACGAAACACCAATAATAATCGGTGAAAGAATTATCGTGTAATATAATACATCGCGCGGATTTCCTATAAATTCGTGACGAATTAATAAACGCAACAATTTCAATTCTATCTTAATTCTTCTATCCGTGTAATATCAGCTAAGATTTTACATGTATCGTTCTATTTCGAATTTTATACGCGAGGGGGGGGATATAGAAATTCTAATCTCCGTACAGTATATAGATAAAGGATAATATATACCTTTATAAGAAAGATAAAGGAATATATTTATGATAATATTGTATAGACTAATTACAGTATTAATATCCGTCTATTCGGCTAGGATCGATTCTATTATTGGAACGCCTCCCATGTTGCCTTAATTTATTAATTCACGTCACGTTTAAAATCGGTTTAACGTGAACGCGTTTTATTAAAAACGGAGATGACAGAGAGAATAATAAATGTCGATGTTTGTTAGTTTACAAAAATTAATAAACGGAAGATGCTTCAGATTATTAATTGTTAAAACAAGGAGGGGGGTGATTTTAAAGGAGGCTTGCAAAAAATGGATTTTTTGAATAACGATTCGAAAGGTAAATATGGAGAAAAGGTGATCAGAATGGAGAGGAACTCCCTTAAAAGTTGGGGAAAACGTAATCCGATTGATGATTGGAAATTGCGATTAATATAAAATCCAATTATTAAATAATCAATAATCATTGATTAATGAATAAGAAAGGAATCAGAAGTTGTTGTTGTGATCAATGATTTTTATTAATTATTTTATTAATTATCAATCATCAAATGGTTATCGATTTAATCTGTAATAACAACCCTGTGAACATTCTTTCAGAAATATATACATATATTTTTACATAGTTTTACACAGAAAATCCTTAGAATCTTTTAATACAACATTTCAAACATATTAATAATTTGTATATATACGATAATTTGTATATTTTTAGTATATTTTAGGTTATCATCGTAGCGCACGAAAATAATTTATCAACAGGAGCCGAATAATTTTGTTATAATAAAATAAAAACAGCTAGAGCAAACATCAAACATTCAATTCATTCTAAATCGTACAGCACTGTTATTTTATAATTATTATTTTATAAACTTATTATATTTATTATTATTATCATATATATATATTATTATTATTTATAAACTATATAACTTTTAAAAGTATCGCTAACGACGATCGTTGAACGATTTAAAAATTAACGATTAAAAATTACGAAGAAGTTAATCGCCATAACCGATTTATTTTCAACGATGATCTATCGATCTATCACTGAACGAAAGAATTATATACAGAAGAATACAAACACAGAACGATAACAAATAATCAAATAATATTTTTCTCTAAAAGTAGAAACAATTCGACCCCTTTTTGAATAATCCGATTAAATAATCCCGATTTCGGAGAGGACGGTCACGATTTCGGTGGGATAGTTAATTACGAGATTAACCGTACCGTTGTTCCAACATTATCACCGTTCTTGGTTCGCAGTTTCATCGAGAGGAACCGCATTAAGCGCGCTTAAGTATGACAAACGGAAACCTGGATTGCTGCACCTTCTCCCCACGAAATTGTCAAACGAAACGCTACGGCGAAACAATTCGTTTGTCGCCCTATGATAATCACCTTGATGCCGGGCAACCGTGAACGAAATCGTAATTCATACAAACGACGCTCCCACCCTTCTGTAATTTCCACTCTATTTCCAACATTTGCGAAGAAAGAGAGAAATGGAGATTCTTCGAAAAAGAACACTAGATTAAAATTTTTCTAAATTCATACGAAATTTTCATTTTATACGCGTTATTGCCGCGTATATAATACAATAATATATAATATAATAATATAAAAATAATACAATAATATATAATAATATAATTATTATTTGTATAATAAAATTTATTTATATAATAATATATATTATATAATATATAATATAATAATATAATAATATATATATTACCCGTTGGAAGGAAGACGATGCGCTGAGAGAAGGAAGGAAAAGAAGGAACAATTAGAGATTAAGAAAAATTGGGCAGTTAAGTATTCGGTATGCAAATGGATTTTATTTTTTAAGTTTTACGAAGAATATGATGCATTTGTGGAGGAAAAAGAAATAAATAAATTTCGTTTATCCTTGTATCTGCGCTAAAATCTTGTATTTTTATGTAAGGGAAGGTACTTGATAAGGTTTGGATAAATATTTCTTCCTCGCGAAGGATACGAGATGTGGATTTTGAAAGAATCTCGAGTTGGAATTAGTTCTCTTTGCAATTCCTCGTAACTTCTTTCCCTTCCAATTTTCCAACTTCCCTTTTTTTCTATTCAATATTATATAACTACATCTACATAGTTTCTTAATTCGAGAATCGATTCTCTAAATTCTAAATTCTAATTTCAATCACCTAAATACGAAAATTTTATCTAAAAAAGAAAGAAGAAGAACTGCCTCCTACCTTTTCTCTTCTCAGAAACGAAAACGACCCCTTTCTCGATATTTTTCGATATTTACTTTCGTCTTTCGGTCAAATATTCATCGTTATAAATAAACAAAATAAACAAGAGCAACACCCAACCACTTGTTATTTTCCTCGACGAGCCGAGAGCCCCGCGCCTGATAGAGAAGGACAAACGGATCTCTCCCCGTTTATCTCGAAAATCGTCTCTGGAAAACCGCAGCTCCGCCTCTAATCGGGGAGGGGGTCGTTACGGTGTTGCATTCGAGTCACGGCCGGCAGTCACGCGGAATTTTCATTGTTCGTCGAAACGTCGAAGCTGTTGAGCCAGGCTTGCCTCGAATTCATTTGCTTCGCGCTCCCTACCCCTCCCCACCCCGTTTAACGTACGCGAAAATAACGTATCGAACTCCGTTCGCTATTTCTCAACGGAACGGAACGGCGAAATGGATGGAAATTTCGTTTCGTTCGTCCAGACGGATCCCCCTAATTTCGTTCCAAGATCTCCAAGAGCACCTTGGATTAATCTGTAGCGCGAGATAAAAATAAATAAATTATTATTATTATTGTTTTTTGGAATTTTTAAATCAAGAGAAATTTGGAATTTTTAGATCAATTTTTTAGATCAAGAGAAATAATAATAAATAATTAAATAGATCAAGAGATTTGGGAATACGAGTATCCTTTGTATTCTTGGAATGAAATTTGGAATTTTGGAATTTTGGAA